GGCATTCTACGACATTGGTATCGTTTCTAAATGTTTTCCTTGCAACTTATGGTATATTTTTGCCCATTTAGCAACTGTTTTGCACGATTTACAGTATGGTTGAAAACTTTTTTTTTTTGGAAACGGCCGAAAATTCATGCGCGCGTGGATGTCATCCATATAATCAAATCAACATGGCCTAAACAGAAAAGAACATGACATATAGTATCTGGACACATCGATATGTATGTAAGAATATGACTAGGTATAATTGTGATGAATTAAATTTGATGCCACAACGTAATTTTTAACAATAGCCTTATAAATATATACAGTTTTTGTTTAAGATGATTTTATTGTTGTAATGTAAAACTAATTGCTTCTATGTTATGGCACACCCAATTCAGCTAAACCGACTTAGCTGCCTATGTGTGACAGTTGTGAACAGTTCGAAGTGTATTTTCTAAGGTTGCGAATAAACCATCTCTCTCTTTCTCTCTCTCTCTCTCTGTCTCTCCCCCCTCCCTCTCAACACATAAAATACGTGGTATGTAAAAAGAGCGGCTTATAGATAAGATAAGGCTAGTTTATAATACCTCCAGGTTTGTAGGGAAAATTCACAATTCCTGGGAACTAAACGCAGTTTGCCAATTGGAATTCCGTTATCTATGTAATAGGAAGCTGTATTTACCTCAAAGAGAAGTGCTCACTAAAACACAAAACCTTAGAATTTCAGAAAGAATGCAAAGACGAGCAAAATTGCACAACGGATCATATCTAGTGCTTTATTGGTATGTACACGGTTTTACAGTAAATGCGAAGAAGTCTGCATACCTTTCCTCTCCTGCAGGTTCCGATCTTGTCGCATGGGGAGCTGCTGATCACTGAGTCGGTGGCGATTTGTCTGTATCTGGAGGTATGTGCAGCATCAAAACTGCTTCTGCTTTAAAACATGATGCTCCTAGATCCAACATCCTATCAACACTTTAACTCTGTAAGCGCTACCCCTAAGCCCGGATATCTGGAAACTTTGTCTTAAAATGTGGTCTTGATTTTGGTCTTCAACAGTCTGGATGCAAGAATCTCTCAATCCAAACATCGTTAGCTCATTGCTCGTTGTTTCCGAAAGTCTGTAAAACGTCACCCACTTTCGAATTCAGTCAGAATGACAGCCATGTTTTCAGTGGCTGTTTTGGCGGGAAACACCCTATGCTCGGAAAGCTCAGATTGGCTGCGCTCAAGGTCATTGGCTATTGACTACTGGCTATTGGCTACTGTTACAAACCCTACAACCTTTCCTATAGATAGGCCTAACTAATCTCCAAGTAGAACCTTGCAAGGCAGTATATACGCATCCAATCGGCCAAGTAGTGTCAGGCACCGGTGGCTAGTGGACACTGCTTGGCCGGTCGGATACTGCCTTGCCACCGTAGGATCTGCTTGGAGATTACTCGTAACCTATCTATTTGTTGACCGCCACAGAAAGTGTTTGAGAGTAAGTCTCTTTTACCGAGTGACATCGGCCAACAGACAGTGGTCGTACAGCGAATGCTTCAGGCGCAAACCATCGGGGTCGGACCAACCTCTATCTGCTGTGTTAGGGAGGAAGACGGCTCGGAAAATACGGTAAAGGTTTCGTATGGTTATACGGAATAAATATCTGCCGTCTGTTTGACTGTGTGTTGATGGTGTTCAGTACCACGGACAGATGTGTTTGGCGTGTGTGGATGGCGTTCAGTACCAAAGACAGGCATGTTTGCCTGTGCGTGGGTGGCATACAGTACCATGGACAGATGTGTTCACCTGTGTGTGGATGGCGTTCAGTACGAATTCGAAGGACAGATGTGTTTGTGTGTGGATGGCGTTCAGTACCAAGGACAGATATGTTTGCCTGTGTGTGGATGGCGTTCAGTACCAAGGACAGACATATTTGCCTATGTGTGGATGGCGTTCAGTGCCAAGGACAGATGTGTTTGCTTGTATGTGGATGGCGTTCAGTACGAAGGACAGATATGTTTGTGTGTGGATGGTGTTCAGCAAAGGACAGATATGTTTGTCTGTGCGTGGATGGCGTTTAGCACCATGGACAGATATGTTTGCCTATGTGTGGATGGCGTTCAGCACCAAGGACAGATATGTTTGCCTATGTGTGGATAGTGGAATCACGAAATACTTAGGTCTGCAGTTCAACTATAATCCGCTTAAGGCCGCTTTCGACCAAAAGGTATGAAGCAGGATACGACCATAACGGTAAAGTTATGTTTCTGTTCTGTCTATAGGATGCTGTTAACCAACAAAAACTGGCGAAGGAGATCAACAATTGGGAAGCATACCTATCAGAGGTAACAACAGATTGTATCTCTCACTGGTGTCTTGCACAGAACGCTACAGTTCGGTGTAAGAGAGGTTAAATTTACACTTTTTCATCTTTCTTTTCGTTCTTTGGAATTTTTAATCTTTCTTATATTGTTTAACATCACATTTGCGAGTTATAGTAGGAGTTATAGTACGCGGTACGTCGACTATTTTTCCCCACACGTTTTGTTGTAATCTTCAGGGACCGTTCATTACTGGTGGGGACTTCACCATGGCGGATGCTGTGTTCTTCCCTGTCCTGGCCTACCTGGTGTGGGAGGGGTTAGAACTGGGGGGAAGATATCCAAAACTAGAACAGTACTACAACATGGTAAGGACATTTTCAGTGCACTTGGTTCGACAATTTTGGAAAGCATGTTTATATACTTAGATCTTTATGGCGAGAACAGCAACGTATTTTAGATACTAGTATTAAGTTTATCATAATAAATAATTAATAACAAGCAAAACGATGATGTCATCTATGATATAATACATTAACACATAATACATAACACATTAATCCACGTAAAGTTTTTAGTATTCTCCAATTTTATGTTTGTCGAAAGAAAACATGTTGTTTTTCCTTAGTTTCTTCCTCTTCTTCTCCAAACAAATAAAGAACAAGAGTTCCGAGATCTCATACCTCCATGAAATATGGGCTTGACATGTAAATGTTAATTTCTTCTTTAATTATGCAAATTACCTCCACATTAACATAATAAATGCATCGTGATGTTAACTTTTGATTAACTTACACATGTACCAAGTATGAAATTCCCATCATTTACCACTAAGGAGTCATAGAATTTTCGCATTAATTATGCAAATTAGGTCATCATTTGCATAATTGGTATCTGGTGATGTTCCATCTGCCATAGATTACATACTAGTACATTACATGTATGAAAGTACCATAATGCAAAACACTGTAATTATAGAATTTCCTCATTAATTATGCAAATTAAGTCCTCATTTGCATAATTTGCAGTTAATTATGTACATCTCTCTCTCAGCTACCTACATACCAAAAATGATGAAAATACATTGTTTCTATCTGGACTTATTGGCTTTTAAAGATTTCGCCCGAAAGTCCCCTGCATTTCCAGAACAAGCTGCTAGGGGGACCAAACCCACACCACTTATTCCTGACAGGACAATCTATCTGCCACCAAAAAATCAAGACCATAGCATATTCAGGACAAAAGATACAAAAACCGGAAGTTCTGCTGCAGTACCAAGGTCATCCACCAGGAGGCGTATATTTGACCTTGACCTTCGTCTTCCTAAGACCTATCAGCATACCAAATATCATCACAATCCATAAAGGCGTTATGAAGTTATGCTGGCCGCAAATGTGCGGAGACACAAACACACAGACAGACAGACAGACAGACAGACAGACGCAACAAAAACAATACCTCCATTTTCATGGAGGTAATAACACAGGTTGTTTGTTTTCAAACACACAGCCATACAGTGGCACTGCCACATTTGCCCTGAAATAGGTCACCTATTCCCCTGAGGGAGCGCGCTGCCTCGCTGGGCATAGCCACATCTGTTACCCTGCCTCGCAAGTATAAAGGAGATTCCTCTCAGCCATGTCCTGACTCAACCTTAAACCGGAAGTGCTGCTGCAGTACCAAGGCCATCCACCAGGAGGCCCATATTTGACCTTGACCTTCGCCCTCCTAAGACCTACCAGCATACCAAATATCACCACAATCCATGAAGGCGTTATGGACTTATGAAGGTTCAAAAATGCGGAAACACAAACACACATACACACACACACACACACACACACACACACACACACACACACACACACACACACACACACGCACACAGACGCGCCAAAAACAATACCTTCCATTTCATGGAGGTAATAACCTGAACCAGACGTCTGTCACCATGGTAACTGGTGTTGGCGAACATAATGTTGCAAGTGCCATGCAGAACTTCAAGAGGGGCTGCATGGTCACCATATAAATATATGAATATGTTTGAGTAAGAATAAACAAAGCTTTTTAAGCTGGGCCATGTGAAGGTAAACATAATGCATTTGCTTTAGATTGCTTAGATTTTCTTTCTGTACTTCACAGGTCCGGGAACGACCATCTGTGAAAGCATCATGGCCGACTTATTGGAGTCAAATTTCGCCCGTTGGGATCTTCAAGAGCCTGTGAAATGAGGACAGAGGGGCAAAAGTTGAACTTTACAAACTTTTAACTTCTCGAAAACGTTTGACTTCAACTTTTAGAGGCAAAAATGTGTAACTCTAACTTTTGGTAAAATTTTACTTAAACTTTTCGGAAAACTAGAAATAAAATATAACCGTTCAATTACGATGAGGCTCAATTTTGCACATTTTGTGTAGAATTATATGAACTTCAGGAAACAATGATAGCATCGTATGGTTGTCCAGAAATAAATGCTTGCCGACTCCTTTTCCTTGTTTGACATTAGCAAGCATAGCGTTCTATAGCGTTATAACTTCTTCGACGAAGAAATGTTGCTGCGCTCACTCGGTGGTTCAATCGATGGAATAGACCAGGCCTCATGACACCATATACACCCCGGAGCGGGTCATTGACCCTTAATTGAACGCTTACAATTCTTCTACAAACACTTTTTTCTCTTTATCTACTAACTGGGGTTGTGAAAGACTCAGTATATATTGTGGTGAGTCTGGTGACAATAGAACTAGATGAAATTTGAGTCAACAATTTTGGTCCCTCCTCTACAAAATTTAACACTTTGGACTTACGCTACTACTTGTGACCCAGATATCAGGTCACGGCGCAGGCGTAGTTCATTCCAGGCGAGATGCTCATCAAAATGGCGGCTCCAGGTCCAGGCGACTATTTCACGTTCAGTGTCGGCTCTTCCGTCTCCTGTACCACTTGTCTCGGACAGAATATACAAGGAGAAGTGGTGGCCTTCGATCCTCCGTCTAAGATGCTCGCAATCAGTATCCTTTGATTCCTTCGAGAGCGTCAGGGCGCCCAGAAATGCCGGCCTTTCTGACGCGAGTTTGACCGGCAGTTCAGCTAGGGTCATACGGCGATGAGTAAATTTTTCCTTCCCTTCATATACTTTAAATCCACGTTATATGACTTGTTATAATCGTCCAGTTGTTTTTCCTCAGTCAGAATGATACAAAACGCGTATACACGACGTTGTTTGTGGCTAACGTATGGTTATGCATAGCTGATAATCGAAAATGGAATGCTATGTGTTGGGGAGGGGGGCGTATAAATTTTTACTAGTATAATTTCACTGTAAAATAATGTTTTTCCCTGTACATATGTAGACCGACATGACAAAGTATCTGTATTGTATTTTGATCTTAAGAAAATCCTGAACATATAGAACGATTTGAAGTATTTCATTTCTATAGCTGAAGTTGTCTTAGATATTTGGGGTCAAGCCAAATTTGCATAATTCATTATTTCATGCATGTTGTAAAATGGCACGCATTTAAGAGACTGACATGTATTTTGGTAATGTCATTGCCAAACTTTGGTTATATTTTGTTTGAATATGTGTAGTTTATCAGTCGCAAGATCTGATTATGAGGCAGCGATTATGAGTGACCTATGTCAACATCTGAAGAGTTTTTAATATTTGTCCACTCGTTGTGTCAGAAATGTTGAAGTGTACTGTCAACCATGAAATTTTCGTGGTTTTATTTTTTTACAACACTGATCTGGGCTCAAAATACTGGATGCATTTGCACTTTAGTGCACACAAATTTGGAGCTGTGTACCAATTTTTTTTTTCAGTGGGTGCACTGGCCAAATATATTCGTAGGTTTAGTTACGTATGTAAAGATGTTAAATGTATAGTAGTATACAGCATATTCTTAACGTCTAATTGTTAGAAAAATAATAAAATCATTGTTATAATACTAGTATAATTAGTTTTTTATGAAATTCTACTAATTTTATCTTGTATGGTGCGCCCCAAAATTTTTGTACACCCAAATTATTATTTTTATAGAATTTATAGTATAATGGTGTTTTTTCCCCACCATAAACTCTGGCTTCACTATAGACGTAATAACAGTATGCATTATCTAAAAGTAGAAACCTGCTTCAAAGTTCTAGTAGCTTTTTGAATGGGGTTTCTAAGTGCATTTCCAGCTTTACCTTGCTATACTTAAGTCTAAAAGCATTGGCTTAAAGTCATATTGTGTAAGACTTTTGTGCTAAAGCTGTAATTATAGATTATTGAAGTTTTTTCATGTAGATTGTCAATTTGTCATGTTCAATAACTTTCAACATATTAGCGTCGCTATTTTGCTTTGCCCGGCGAATCAGCGCAGTACGAGAATAAGTTGCGCCAGGCCCGATGTATTTTAGGAGGCTCCTAAAAAGAACGTTATCAAACAGCATTTTTTGTTCAGGCATCATTGGCAGCTTCCAACACAGCTTTTACATGCAACGACATTGATACTTTACTCCCTAAATGTTATTATGAACCCAGGTAAGGTTATAGCGCAAGAAAATGTGTAAAAGCTAAAACAATGATGTTTAAGATAGTGAAAATATTACATAATATGATCGCTTTAAAGTCAAGAAACAGGAAGAGGGTTGATCCTTAACGCGGCGCTCAGAATCTCCGTCCGGTAAGGGTCCCGACCGCCATGATGTACGCATCGTGAACCTGGCGCTGGTGTCTAACGTGGACGTCGTGCATGAGTGTACCGAACCCCCGCCTGTTCTTCCAGTTCTCAGCTTTCAGAAGGTAAGATACTAGTAGGCTGTGACTTCCGACTGTAATTTATTTTAGATACATGCATATCTATCAATGTTCGAAATACCTGTCTGCAGTCTGCAATCTGCAGATAGGTTTTCAAGATTGCAGAAGAAAAATTTATACAATCTGCAATTTTGCTACAGGCTACAGATTCAATAGTGGTGAAAGACCCGTGAAGATACCAGTAAATGATAAATTTTCTGTGGAGAAGGATCTATAAAGTCTGAAATTAACAAGAGTGATAGATTAAACTTAAAAGAATTCCAGTAATGCTACAGATTTACAAAGCTATATATGATGTAAAAAAGACATTAATGGTTTGAGAAGGTTGTAGTATAGAGGCTTGTGTATTTGCAGAAAGTATTTTCAAATTGCAGAACAAAATTTTTACTCTTCTGCAATATTGCAGAGCACTGAAAAAAAGTATTTCGACCACTGTCTATTCACATATTGTAGCTTTTTGGGATGCTGTTGTGTTAGGGCAATTACTAGTATTGGCTATATAGATGGAAATACAGATACAAAGTTTTTTATTTATTCAGAACCTTGATAAATCTTTCAAATAATGAAAATATAGCTTAAGAATGGAGATATAACAAAGGGAAAACAAAATCTCCCCAAATAAGCAGGAAATGGGTCTCAGGGGTTTTGAGTTACAAAATTTTTTTGAAGAATATTATTATTAGACCCCCTGCTGTGGTCATGTTTTTGGACTCAATGTGCCGTAGAAAGTTACCCTTCTGTACCCGACCCCTACACTGTGAAAAATCCTTAGTGAGAACCCTGGTACTATCTATATAGCATCCTGTATTATATGTATGATTTGGTTGGTATTCTTGTGCAATGCATCACACTACTACAGCGTAACACAACAATTGCGGAAGTAACTACACCACCGCAGTGCATAAAAAGTCATCAAATTATTTGAAAATACCTTCGTTGTAAAAAATGCCAGCAGGACAAGGGCTAAGAAAATACTGTAACATTCAAAAGTTGAATATATGGCAGTTGTTCAAGTCATGATAACTTTGTTGATGAATCTTTGTTCTGAAGTAAATGAACCTCTGTCTCCTGTCCCAGCTTGAGGCCCGGGCGAGGCACGAGTGCAGTGAGAAGTGGAAAGCCGTGAACCTCATCGGCATCGGAGTCAGCCCTGAGGGACAGAAACTCTTCAACGCTATACACAAAACGTAAGCTATTTTATTCACAATTAGTGCTGCATACCTAAACCCAATTTTAGCTTCAGGTCCGGATTCAAGTCCAGAGGTTTAGCTTCAGTTCTGGACTTGCAAGTCCAGACCTAAACCCATGGCATATACAAAATTGCATGTTAGCAATCTTGCAATGTTGTCTGGGTGAAACTTTGGCCACATAACATGGAGGCCGATACTTGACGATGCCCTATGGCAAATTGTTTTCTTCATTTTGCAGCAAAGATTTTGCAATCTACAGAAGGTTTAACTTGTAGGTGGTTTGGAAAGAAAAGGGGTATGTGAAATGGTCTTTTATGGTAATAAGTCCGGACTCGGTTCTTGACTTTTAGTTTTTTTTTTACTTGAACCTAAACATTCTTACAAGTCCGGATCCAAGTCCAGTGAACCGGTATGCATCACTATTCACAATGATGAAAAATGTTAACTTACAATACTAAGTACATATACGGTCACACTGACTTAATCTTATGAATGACATCCTCTGAAGGAAAATTCCAGCCAAATAAAAGTTGCTGCTAAACCACAGGAATGCAAAGCTAGGATTGTGAATTTGCAGTAGTAGTAGTAGAAGTACAAGACAAGCCGGCTCATTCTGGCATTTAGCAGCATTTTAGTCGGCACTGTACTGAGTTCTTGAGTTCCGTGGAACTTCGGTAGCCTGGGTGCCTTCCTCAGGGCTCGAAATTAACATTGTCCCAGTGTCAAATGACACTAAATTTTCAGCTTGGGACAATTCAAATTACATTTTGGGACAATTTCGGGGCAACGTGAAAATTCTGAGACTGTCCACTACATTTAGGAACGTGATCCATCCATCCTGCTGCTGGCTGCCGGCAGCCCATAATACTCAAATTTATGTTTAAAAAATCAATTTGATTCAAACATTTAAATTTTACCAATCATTGTAGGGGGCCTCAAAGATGGTGCCATGCCCATGATACATGTACTATCATGTTGTACAAATTCAGTTGTCGTTGTTTTCTTATTGTTGTCATAAACTTATTTCCTAAAAAGCAGGCTGTGACAGTCCATCCTCAGTTCGGGACAATTGAAATCTATGTTTGGGACAATTCTGGGACAATAGTAAAAACAGTTAATTTTGAGGCCTGCTTCCTCTGTAGTTACTGCCTGTTCCCTATTGTTGCTAGTTGCCATGAACTACAGTTGAAGGCACCCAGACCAGAGCCTCAGAGGAAGTCTTTTCTTTTTTGAGAACAAGCGAAAATCAATGCGCATGTGGATGTCATCCATAAAATACCGTAATTCAGTTTGGCCTAAGTACACAAACATGTAAAATAGTTATAAGTAGGTATAATCCTGGTGATACCCGGTAGTCATATATTTTACAACTCAGTGATGAATAGTGATGCATACCGGTTCACTGAACTTGGATCCGGACTTGTAAGAATGTTTAGGTTCAAGTCCAAAAAAAACCTAAAAGTCAATAACCGAGTCCGGACTTATTACCATAAAAGACCATTTCACATACCCCTTTTCTTTCCAAACCACCTAAAACCTTCCGTACATTGCCAAATCTTTGCTGCAAAATGAAGAGAACATTGCCATCGGGCATCGTCAAGTACCGGCCTCCATGTTATGTGGCCAAAAATTCACCCAGACAACATTGCAGGGTTGCCAACATGAAATATTGTATATGCCATGGGTTTAGGTCCGGACTTACAAGTCTGGAACTGAACCTAAACCTCAGGACTTGAATCCGGACCTGAACCTAAAATTGGGTTTAGGTATGCAGCACTAGTAGGTATAATAGTAGATAAAAGATAGTCATATTTACAACTCAGAGATGAAAAGTATGTTCTGTGTGTCAGTCACTACGTGACTCATTGGAGTCTTTGGAGTTCTTTCTGCTAATGCTATTATTAATGGTAACCAACGTAACACTGTATATAATTTCTCTGTGTAAAAACATTCTTCATTCAACAACATGGGTTTTTACATCTGCTCTGAAGAATGCGACAGATGGTCACTGAAACATCAATGTTAAAACCCCTGGTTGTTTAATAGAAAATGTTTTTGGACAATCTTTTTGCAGTCTGATGAACTTTTTTTCATGAATGCTGTTTCTCTGTTCCAGGATAAGTGAGACACGATGGCGAGACAAAGACATAGTAGTTTTGGACGATGTTGTCATATCTCCGCCCTACGGTCTGGAGAATTGCAAGGGGAAGGAAGGGCAGGCCCTGGCACAAGTCCGCAAAATTGTCAGTATCTTTTTGTAATCCTCTCTTCTCTTCTTTTTTATTTGTTAGACACATGTATAGGCATTCTAATAGGATAAACTTGAAGTCTAGTATGCAATAAAGTGTGTCAGATTGTGTTTAAAATGATGAGTTAAATTGTTGTAACAAAGTAGCGTAGGGGCCCCCTACGCTAAAATTTTGACCCCCTACGCTAAATTTCCCCCACTACGTTAAGATTTTGACCCCCTACGCTAAATTTCCCCCCTCTACACATACAGCATAGGGGCATTGGGACTGTATTTCTTTGTTCAAGAATGCCAGATCAAATGTGAAAAATTACCAATCAAGGATACATTGTACATACCTTAGAAATAACATTTTTTCCCTTTGGGTATCCCTCAAATGGCCCCTTTTTTAACTCAAATTTTTAAAAGCTGCGCACCACGGAAAGAGGGCCCATCGACAGGCAGCCAGTACCACTACGCTAAAATTACATCCTAGCTAGAACCCTGATAACTATTTGTTTGGGATAGAATGTGCCTAAACACAAAGGTTTTCTATAGCCTATATGTGATGTACAGTAGTCGGGCTAAAATATTTTGGATGATCTGTAAGTGAAGATGGACAGTTTTCAGGACTTACTGTGGTCCTTTTCTTCATTTCTTCACTAATTGTTTATCTATCAGACATTCCCCGTCAAACTTATTTACAAAGCTTGCACCAAAGAGAATACTTCAGTACCAATAATGTTGATTATTTCATATTGGAGATAGATGTCGTTCTCAAGAATGTTTTTGCAATAATTTCTTGTGTATTGTATTAATAAATTATAATTATGATTGACAGAAAGACAAGAGATTACATCATAATAATGTTTGTTTGTTTATTTTTACCCAGGTTGAGAAGTACATAAAGGAACAGCAACTTCCCCAGACAAACTCTTCATAAAGGCAGCTCTGACCACAGCCAGTACAGTGGGCCAGGACAAGTATAGCACGTCGGTAGAACGTACTGCACCTGCGCAAAACCCCTAAGGTCTTGTACATAGCACTTTGGCAGAATGTATCAAATAAGGTCGTATTCGCATATGTAAGGTTAACATCCCGTCTGTAGTTTCCAAATGTTGTGTCGGAAAAGATATCCTTTGCAACAGGCAAAATTCTGATGCAACGTTAACCAAACATCCTACGAAAACCGTGGAAAATCAGGGTTTTGCGCAGGTGCAGTACGTTCTCCCGACGTGCTAGCCAAGTCACTTTCCTGGTCACCATCAATGTAGGGGTAGAGTTTTTTTCCCAAGTTACTGAACAATCCGGTCTCTATCAGTTTCTTTAAGAAATGGTACACATGACGTTTTATTCCATAGTTGGATTCTTTCAATATTACATCTTATGAATGATGAATATGTCCCATTTTAGCTTAGATCATGGTACATAAAGATGTCAACAAGTTTTGTGATACTCAGTTCAGAAATGTTGGGTAAAAAGACAACCTTAGTTGTGGAAAGTTAGAATATCTTGCTTTTTTGCCCTCACAATTATCAATTCCTACAATTGCAGACTCTCTTTCTCCCTTATAGTGACAAACATATTTTAGTTGCAAGCATAGAACACATGCATAGACCAATTTACAAACACAGAGATGTATTATGTACTCTTTCCAAGTCATACTTTTGTTACCCTTTGATCTCTGACCCTTGACATCTTGCTATCATCCTGATGACCTTGTTCAGCAAAAAGCACAGTATGTCAGTTGGTCCTACATTGACTTGATTCATACACATTGTACATGTATTTTGTTCAGGACATTTTCTCTTTTGCTCAGTATCTAACATAGGGAACATTTTCTTTCACTGTTAACTATGTATAAAGCAGTTGTCTTGAACATATTATACTTTCCAACAGCTACATGTAATTTTGGGTCATTTGAATCACAATTCTCATTAAAAAAAAAAGAAAAAAAGGGGAAAGCTATTTGACTATCTGCCAAGCATTAGGAACTTGTATGAAGATATTCACCCTTTGGGTATTTTGTTTATACAATGTTTTACTGAAAATGATGAATAAAACTTTTATTAAGTTCCCTGTAACGAGCTGTTGTGTTTATTTCAAAACCTTGTACATGTAGTTAAAGTGAGTTAATTGTTGAAAATAAGGCCACATTGATTTGATTATATGGATGACGTCCTCTGGGAACCCCAAAACTGATGCGAGCGTGCGAATAAAAAAAATGTTTTGCAAAAAAAAGTTGCTTTCATTATGAAGTCTACGTGGTCATGAAGGTTGGACAAATGACACAGAGTATGGTTTGGCGAATAATCTACTCTTCAAATTCATTTTTTTTTTACATTTTCGTCTTTTTTGTCTGATTTGGCATTCTACGACATTGGTATCCTTTTTTTAGATATTCTTTTTGCAACTTACAGTATATATTTGCTCATTTTGCAACTTTTGTACGATTTACAGTATGGTTGAAAACTTTTTTTTTTGGAAATGCGAGTGCGGATGTCATCCATATAATCAAATCAACATGGCCTAAGTATTGCTTTGGGGTATAGCATTGAAATGTTTTGAAATAGTGAACATTAGTAGTGCTCTTGGAACAAGTTTTAAAAATGATTTTGTTCCATTAAAATGCAATGGATTTTCTTATTAGTTAGGCCATGTTGATTTAATTATATAGATGACGTCCACTCGACCATGGATTTTCGTTTGTTTCCAAAACAAAAGTTTTCGATCATACTGTAAATGGTGACATCACATCATTAATACATTCATGTAACATCCGTGTCCATAATATCACCAGGGTCCATAATATCGCCACCTTGAGAAATAGTGTGCTTCAAGATATTTTTACTGCAACATACCCTAGGTATGTACATTTGAGGTGTGCAGGAGTGCATACCAAAAGTATGTTGCACTAAAAATATCTTAAAGCACACTATTTCTCAAGGTGGCGATATTATGGACCCTGGTGATATTATGGACACGGATATTACCATAATAATGAGGAATTGCAACATTAGACAGCATTCTCTTCCACATATCATTAATAGAAAGATATCAAATATCGTACAAGGTACATTTATTCAGTACAATGGATAAAACATACAAATCTCCCTTGCGCATAATATTAAAGACAAACTAAAACTCGTTCGAAGTTATTGGACCCTCTGTTTTCTTTTCTCAGCTGTGTGTTAGCTTTACTGAATCATAGTAGTATAACGCGAGGTGTCCCTTCTACACACGGTACACGCACGCCCTCTACCGAAATAGCACGTCCATTCATGGCGGGTAGATTATACCAATATCAGCAAGCAGAGGGGTGTTTGGTTGAAAATAGTTTTCCTATTCGTTGATTCAATCTCATCCATATAACCTCTGGTTGGTCAAATGTTATCCACAGCCGGTGGTACATTTGCATATCGAACAGGTGAAACACAGGTTGGAATATTCTGGATGAAACCATTGTTTCCATCTAAACGGGGGACGAGATTTCTTATTACTTTTTTGTACCAAAGAATAATTATAGGGTTGTCATAAAGCATATTTATGTACCAAAGAATGCAAAATTGCAAAGTTGCAGGAAAGTGACCCTAACGTCCCTTGCATAGTCTAGGCGATTAAAATGAACCTCATTTTTTAGTGTGACGTAAGCACTTACCTGTAGAAACAAAAGGGACAGTCCAAAATCGGGGTCCGTTGGTGAACAGCAGGCAAGCGTCAGTTCAAGCTACGTGTTGAGGCATGAAGGTAAGTCGTGAAGGTTAGTGTCTTTCTCTTATTTTCCCCTCATGGCAGCGCAAAAAGGCCCCAGCGTTTTGTAACACTAACTCGTGCGCTTTCATGTAAACATGTAATTCGTGCGTTGGCGTTGTGTAAGTGTAATTCGTGGATTCCTGAGATTTTGAGGCTCGAAACAACGTTGTCAGCTTGCGCTCAAGGTGGCGGTGGGAACTTGGAGACCCGGGCGCTGTATATAGTATTAACTCGTGCGCTTTCATGTATAGAAGTAATTCGTGCACTAATGTTCGCAATTCGTAATTCTTTTGAGACTCGAAGCGGCGTAGCGTGCACGTTGCGCAAAAGACCTTGTTTCTTGATCTGTTGTATGACTATGTGTTGAAGATATGTCAGGAATTTTGTGAGTGCTACACAAAATTCCTCACATTATATTGTCATGGTTAGTCTAGGTTTAGTGGTGTTATTTCACATGGCTTGGTTGTTTTGTATTAATTTTAAGTTGATATTGTGATGATTCTATTGCTGTGGTTTATTGTAAGTTGTATGTTGCTTGCAGCGCGCGGATGTGAATCTTTTTGAAAAAGGTTCACAACAATATCTTTTGAAAAAAGGGGCATCTCGCGACGTTGTTATAGTTGTAAAGCGTGCGTGGTATAGGTGTAAACGTTGTATAGTTTTAACCCGTGCGTTTTATAAAAGTAATTCGCGAGGACCCAAATATCAGTAATGCCCACATGCAGCGCGGCGCGGTTTGACCACACAAAAAATCTTACACTACATCAACGGTGTCGTTCATTCTGCAACCACTTACACACACGTACACAAACACTATTGGACTCATTGTACTCCTTGTGCTCTTAGCATGGGAGCCATCTTAGTAAGATCGCTCCCATGCTCTTCGGGGCCTTTATGGTAGTATGATAACCCATGTGAATTAACACCACTAAAATCCATAGAATTCTAAAGACTTGCTCTTATAGAATTATATGGATTATTATTAGAATAGAGCATTTTATCATAGTTCCTATTACATTGTACTAACGATTTTTCTTCCTCATGAAAAAATGGGGGGTCTGTCCCCGCTTGTGTAGTTCTTATGGGGTTAGGTCCCACTCATGCCTTTTGCTTTTATATTGCCCCATTTGGGAAATGTGGGTAGTTTGGGTAATACGTATTAGTTTGTGCAACTAATAGATACCCCAATAAAGTATCAAGTTGGTAAATAATGTATATCTAATACCAAATGACCTAGAAAAACAAGTCTAAAATCCATTCTTAAAATGATTATTTAAAACTTTTAAAAGATCGTTAATTTGTTAGGCTCGTACCGAACCCCCTGGGTGTCTTATGGGGTAAGTTTTAGTTAGTTTCCCTATAGCTAGCGCCCCTCCCCTTGACTATATCGTAACTTTCTATTTCCTGTATCTTTGCACACACACCACACACACTTCAAAACGTCCCTAAAATATATAATATTCCGATGCTTGCAAAGTGTCTGAATGTAAGAGGTATGCAAAATTTCAAAAAGTATTTTGCATATTTCATTAAAATTTAAAATGTCTCTAAAATATGTGAAGAAATGTGTTCGTTGCTTGAAATGTGTAGTAAGTAAGTAAGTAATCTAAATAAAGTGTCCTATATACAATGTTTATTTGGTTGAATGAGTGTTCTTTTCTAAGCATTCACGCACGCACACACAAGTGAAAAAAGTAAAAAAAGTTTTTACATGTGACTGTTTGTTTTCAAACATATTATATGGATTCTATGTAATGTTCCTAGTGTATTGTATATGTTCTAGTTTGTCTACCCAGTACAGGGTATGGGCAGCAATGTTTAGAATCGCATCTTGTACTTGTTAACGTGTTTCTTTTCTTTTTGTCCAACATTACAGTTACAGCGTGCACCTGAAGACTGAATTCGAAGTGTCTACAACGCGAAGACGTCTTCTTTATCGCCGAGAAGTTGAAGGAAGCAGCCACCGCAGCTCTGACCAGACTGTATGGAAACTATGAATGCATGAGTGAATGAATGAATGAAGAAATAAGTGGATAAATATGTTGCTCCCTGTGTAAAGTACATGCTGTAGTTTGTCTTGTACAGGGTTGGACATAGTTGAATGTTGCCTGGATGTGCATGGGTGAACCAAGGTGATTTTGCACAGTGCATCTAGCATTAATTATAACCTACTCTTTCTTCTTGTCTTTCCTTTTCTAACAACACAGTTCCACCAACTGAGAGGATGTAGTTTCGTGACTGGTAGGTGGAAATCTGGTGACCACAGCTCCGATTGTGAAGACCAGCAGAAGCAAGTTGACTGTACAAGTTAGTACGGGGGCTTCTATTAGTAAATTATTGGCTTTTGATTCAAGGCATGTTATCCTTTTCTTCGCGACTTTAAACAAGTAAGGGAGGGGCGCTTGGTGTAACCCAGCTTTGCAGGCACGCGGCGCGGCGATTTTGTGTGTCAATCTCTTTGAGAATTTACAATTTTCATGTATGCTTCTTTGATAAACATACAATATGTATGGACGTAGACATCTTTGAATTGTAACTTTGTTTTGCTGATGTTTGAGTTCAGATTTTGTGATGCCCATGTATGTATACATTTGCAAGTTGTGTAATGTTTGAGGTTCATAGTGTGTTGTGATCTTTTTATTCTAATTTTTTTTTAGTCTGAGTCTTTGAAATTTAACATATGTACAAAGGTGTAGATTTTGTGAAGTTGATTTGTTTTTGTTATTCAGCTATTCTGTTAGACTTTTTGTGGGGCCTGTTTATCATTTATGTGATGTCAATAAGTATATAACCATTACTTAACATTAGTTTGCTGAATACACTTGTCCCTTTTATATTGGCATGACGTTACATAAATAGGTTGGTGTTACGTTATAAGTATGAGAATACAGGGAAGGAAAACCCTGCACAGACACCCAGGGAAGACACCCCTGCACAGAAGTCCTAGGGAGTAAACCCTAGTCAAAAAAATCCAGGGGGGATGAAACACCCCTGTCAAAAAAGTCAACCAAAGTTCGCCGAGTCAACCAATAGGACACAAGACACAGGCGGACAGTGGGACCGGCATTTCTGTAGACGTTTACACGTAAATGTTATGATTTCTATGATATATTGTATGACGGTTGTTTTTGGAGTGTTTGAAAGACATGTATCTATGATTCTAGTCTGATATTCTGATATTGTGTTCTGTTGTGTAATTCCTGGTTGTGTAAAAGAAAAAAAATGGCAATATCCTATGTTTACCAAACTGATGGACGTGTTTCGTAGTTTATTTTATTGCACTTTTCTTGTCTTTCTCATACATGATTGCCTGTCATATTTTCTTGTTTGC